GAGCGAGCGGGCAACGGCTGGGCCGAGCGAGGGCGGAAAACGAAAGTGCGGGCGGGTCGCTCGCTGCTGCTTTTGTCTCGGGCTCTGCGTGGCCGGGCAGGGGCGAGTGAAGAAGGCTGGTCTTAGGGGACCAAAGTCGCACAGGCTCCCAGAACAGCGACCCGGCTCGATCACTCACTCGTGCACACGTATGCATGCATCGATGCACATGCAAACCCGGTAAATGACTAGGCTCAGATGTGTAAACTCTCTTCTCTCCCTTTCGTGCGTTTCCACTCGCGCACTCCGCGCTTCGGCTTGTGCGCGCCCACAAATGCGCTCGCTCGCGCACACGCCATAGGCCCATAGGAACTTAAATTTCACCAGCTCCCACTGAAATGTACGTTAGCCACGCTCGGATTTGAACCCACACGTAGCCCAGGTGACTCCCCCCTGCCCCACCCCAAAACTCCTATTATTTGGCCCCGTAGCCCTGATGTCCCCACTTTCCAAGAGCAGGTTCCGATTCCTCATGGATGGTAAAGGCCCTGGCAGGAAGTTTATGTGGTTCAATGTAAACATGTTCTGAGGGATTCTTTAATAATAATAATAGAGAATTCAGGCGGCCCAGAAGCACTAGGCTGCCCGCAGCAGGGGTCCCGCACGCACCCCCCCCCCACACACACACACACCACCCCCTCTCCTCCGCTCCCACCTCCTAGCACCAGGGTGTGGGCTAGGACTGGCGTGGCGGGGCGGTGGCGCCGAGTGCAGTTCCGCGCAGGAGCCGGGCGCAACGCGGCACACAGGGACCCAGGTGAGTGCTGCTGGAGCGCAGACTGTGGGGCACCAGGCTCAGCCTCTCCCGCTAGGGCCTTGGGTCGGGTGGAAGGAGACCGGGGGTGTTTTTGCGGGCCATCGCGAAGAGCCTAGATGCCGTTCCCTGGCTCGAGCTGAGGTGAGAGGCTTGCGCCGGGCTCAGAGAGCGGCCGCGGCGCTTTTCAAAGCCCACCGACCTCTCGCGTTTCTCTGGCCTCCTTGTCTCCGGCTGACGCCCCTCCTCGTTCGCTTGGCGGTAGACGCCTCGTCGCCTTCGGGGCGCCTGGCACGTCCTTGAGAGGAGCTGGGGGGCGCGCTGGCGTTGTCTGACTAATGATCGCAGCCTGATCCGGCGGAGCCGCGCTCTTGGAGACCGGAGAGCCACCGTCCCTGCCCTGCGCTTCCTCCTGGCTCTCCTGGCCTCGGTCCGTGCAGGCAGCCAGCCTAGCTGGCCTGGGGAAGGGATGAGTGTAGGACGTGATTGCGTTGTGTGTCCCGGTATTTTCGCACAGGTAGACGCGCAGTGGCAGACCCACCTCCACTTCTCTGGGCCCAGACAGCACCCACAGACCACAGACATCCTCAACACCTTGCCTGCCTCCAACACACCTCTCCCCCCCACCCCCAGAGAACACCCCGCACACAGCTCAGGGGCCCCCACTCTCACAGACGCCCAGGCCTGTCCACCGCTGAGGACACGCTTTCGGTTAAATGCACGCTCTCCAGCACTGCACGTCCTCCCACGCACAGTCAGCCGCATTTGCACACGCAATCGCACGCACACAGCCACGGTCACTGGCCCTCGCACCTTCTCTCCCTCCATCACTTTTTTTTCCCCCTCTGCCAAACGGAAGCTGCAGGCAAGGAGGCCCAGGAGGCACGGGAGGGAAGCTCCAAGAAGGGGTCCTACCACCAGCTGCTGGGAGTACATCTGGCCTTTGGAGGAGAAGCGAGCGGGGAGGCTGCTGCTAGAAAGCCATCGAGGGCTGCAGCACTCCCCATGGCTCCCAAACGCAATAGGAACGCCTTCCTTTCTCTCGCTCCTCCTCCACTGATCCGGAGCCTCCAAAGTGAGGGGCTCTTTTTCCAGGAGCCCCCTTTCCTCGGAAGCCCTCTCCCTGGTGGGAGGGGATGCAGATTTCATTTTGGCTAACCCCCCAGAGCAGGCTTCCTCTCTCCTGCACAGCCTCTCTCTCACCAGCTCTGCTTGGGGGCCCCTAAGTGTTTTGGGGTGGGGGAGCTTATGCCTTCATGGGCAAGAAGTATGAAGTCAGACCCCACCTGGCCTCCACTTAACCCGCAGGTTCTGACAGCAACCCAGGCTCTGCAGAGGAAGGACAGCAGTTACTACGCCCAGGGAGAGGGGCCCCGTGGTTTTGGAGCCTCAGAAATGTAGCAGATGGAGGTTCTCCCCATCCTCTCATCTGCACCGAGGCAGGGCATGAGGTGGGGGCATGAGAAGGAAGGGAGGAGGAATGAGCTCTGGATCTGTAATTTGGGGGGAACCCCCCTCAACTCTAGGAAAAACCACAGCCAACGTCAGGAGGGCTTTTTCACATGCCCAGGAACTAAGCTCTTGTCTCCTATGATGCCCCTGAGAAGTCCCACCTCACCTTGCAATTTTAGGGCGGGGAAGCTGAGGCCCAGGGAGGACCTGGCCTGGGTCAGCCAGTGCTGACAAGCAAACATCTCTTGATCTTTCCTCTCCACCCCAAGAACAGACTGTCATTGCCGTTTACCCTCCCAGGTGCCTCTCTGCAGGCCGCAGCTGCCCAGAGTGGGATTTAGACATGCTCTACCTCTGGGCTTGCCTGGCTTCCGAGGCCCAAGGGCCCCAGAGACCTGTTGGAGAATTAATGGTGATAAAAACAACAACAACCACAAGCAATGTCAGCAGGACTTCTCAACTGCCCATCATGCCCAAGTACTGGTCATCACCTTATTAACACCCCCTTGGTGTTCTCTGGGCTGTGAATCCCTTGGTCCAACTGTTGAAAATTACATCCTCCCCCCCAACACACACACACAGAAGGCACATAAATTTGTGGAATGATTTTCAAGGTTTTACCAAACACTTTGAACCCATGGGTGGGAGCCCAGCCAAGAACCCGCCACCTCCTATTCACAAACCCAGGACCCTGGTTAAAGGCCCCAAAGATACTTGTTTAATCTCCACAGAAATCCCACCTTTTACAAATGGGGCTCAGCGAGGCTACCCTCCTAGGTCACCCTGGGTTCAGTTGGTGCCATAGGGTGAGGGTCAGCAGCGGTCAGGGCGAAGACCCTTTGCCTGCAGATTCGAAATCATGGTCAGGATTTGAATCCAGCCTCCACCATGTAGGGATGTTGCATGAGCTGTTTGTGCCTTAATTTCACTTGGGGGGCGGTGGGGGAGAAGGGGTTGTTATTGGTTTATTTTTGCCCCAGCCTTTTTATTGATATAGAAATCAAACATAACCTTGTTAAGTTTAAGGTATAGGATGTGCTGGTTTAGCCTATTTATATGTTGCAAAATGAGTACCACAATAAAGTTAGCTGCCACCTCCACTCCTTCCACATAGTTAATGTGTGTGTGTGGTGATTGCATTCAGGAACTACTCCGTTAGCAACATTCAAGGATATGATACAGTATTATTAGACACAATCACTGGGCTGTAACTTAGTTTCTTCATCTAAAAAATGGGAGGAATAATTGCACCTTTTCCTTAGGGCTGTTGGGAGCATTGGACAAGACTGTGCAGAGACAGACTTAGGCTATCCAGACAGACAAACAAACAAAATCGGCTTGAGGGGCAGTCGGAGAAAATGCAGACTGGGATGTGGCAGCTTTTTGCTCTTAGCTTGAAGAGCCATAAAAGACCCCCCTCCCGGTACCAAATCAAATGTGCGCCCCAGCGCCAGCCCCAGGAATCCCAAGATGGGGGCGGGGGTGTAAAAACAGACACGCCTGCCATGTCTCCCACTCCCCAAACCCAAGGTATTTTTACTGGCTAATTGCTTAAGTGAAGCCGCCCGGGCGCAGAGCGCGCAGTAACCCGAGCAGGGAACCAGATCCTGCTCCGATTGTGCCCGGGCTGGCCTCAGGGGCGGGGGCA